CTTTAACAAGCGCACAGAGTGTGGCGGTGCTCGTCCAATAACACATATTAGAAATGTGGCAATCTCTAAAATGCAGCTCTCCATGACCTAAAACAAGAGTATGGTAAACCTGGGGCTCATTGGAGGTCTGCTAAAAAAGCACTGCTCTTACTGTGTGCCAGATCAACCTGGAACGCCTTACCGGGCCGGCTTTCTCTCGCATAAGGCAAGTAGTCATCAAGAATGGAGCCTATATATTTTTACTTAATAAAAACAAACAACTTATAGTAAAATAAGATGGAGTTCAAACTCTTTGCTCATGGATGATTACTAAAACGTAGGACAAGACACCTGCCTGCTAGCCATATAAAGCTGGGTGTATAAAGGAGGAAGGATGAATAATTGCTGCATGTTTACCATTGAACACTTCCCACACTTTGCCCTCACTACAACCCGTGAACAGTCAGTGATGCCATTCTCAAACATGGCCGCATTGCTGTAACATCGGTTGCTTTATCGATAATGCGCATGCGCATTTTACCGGTAGACCTTCTAACACGATACTGCGCACGCGCGGTGTCAACCAGCTGAACCTGCCCAACGGGAGTCCTCTGCTGCGCGTGCGCAGTACGTCCTGTATCAGTTCCCTACCCTTGCTGGTGCTCGAACGCAAGCGCGTCACAACGCAACTCCGTCCCACAGCTGACCATAGTCACTTCCGGTACGGCCGAGTCTCCGGAAATGACGAGAGGGGATTCTTTTTTTACAGGGTAGGGAAATGTGATAGCGGCTGGTCTCTCCGCGCATGCGCAGTAGAAGGAACATGCCATGGGCACTCGCAGAGTCTATAGGGATCCGAGCAGCGTGGAGCCAGGTATGTCCCTTACCCAGAGATTAAATAAAGTGGTCTGTAACTCTAATTAATGTGAGTTACCCAGAGATTAAATAAAGTGCTCTGTAACTCTAATTAATGTGAGTTACCCAGAGATTAAATAAAGTGCTCTGTAACTCTAATTAATGTACCTTACCCTGAGATTAAATAAAGTGCTCTGTGACTCTTATTAATGTGAGTTACCCAGAGATTAAATAAAGTGCTCTGTAACTCTAATTAATGTGAGTTACCCAGAGATTAAATAAAGTGCTCTGTGACTCTTATTAATGTGAGTTACCCAGAGATTAAATAAAGTGCTCTGTAACTCTAATTAATGTGAGTTACCCAGAGATTAAATAAAGTGCTCTGTAACTCTAATTAATGTACCTTACCCAGAGATTAAATAAAGTGCTCTGTAACTCTAATTAATGTACCTTACCCAGAGATTAAATAAAGTGCTCTGTAACTCTAATTAATGTGAGTTACCCAGAGATTAAATAAAGTGCTCTGTAACTCTAATTAATGTGAGTTACCCAGAGATTAAATAAAGTGCTCTGTAACTCTAATTAATGTACCTTACCCAGAGATTAAATAAAGAGCACTGTGACTCTAATTAATGTGAGTTACCCAGAGATTAAATAAAGTGCTCTGTGACTCTAATTAATGTGAGTTACCCAGAGATTAAATAAAGTGCTCTGTAACTCTAATTAATGTACTTTACCCAGAGATTAAATAAAGAGCACTGTAACTCTAATTAATGTGAGTTACCCAGAGATTAAATAAAGTGCTCTGTAACTCTAATTAATGTGTGTTACCCAGAGATTAAATAAAGTGCTCTGTATCTCTAATGTGTGTTACCCAGAGATTAAATAAAGTGCTCTGTATCTCTAATTAATGTGTGTTACCCAGAGATTAAATAAAGTGCTCTGTAACTCTAATTAATGTACTTTACCCAGAGATTAAATAAAGTGCTCTGTATCTCTAATTAATGTGTTACCCAGAGATTAAATAAAGTGCTCTGTGACTCTAATTAATGTACCTTACCCAGAGATTAAATAAAGTGCTCTGTAACTCTAATGTGAGTTACCCAGAGATTAAATAAAGTGCCCTGTAACTCTAATTAATGTGAGTTACCCAGAGATTAAATAAAGTGCTCTGTAACTCTAATTAATGTGAGTTACCCAGAGATTAAATAAAGTGCTCTGTAACTCTAATTAATGTACCTTACCCAGAGATTAAATAAAGTGCTCTGTAACTCTAATTAATGTGAGTTACCCGGAGATTAAATAGAGTGCTCTGTAACTCTAATTAATGTGAGTTACCCGGAGATTAAATAGAGTGCTCTGTAACTCTAATGTAATTTACCCAGAGATTAAATAAAGTGCTCTGTAACTCTAATTAATGTGAGTTACCCATTGATTAAATAAAGTGCTCAGTAACTCTAATGTACCTTACCCAGAGATTAAATAAAGTGCTCTGTAACGCTAATTAATGTACCTTACCCAGAGATTAAATAGAGTGCTCTGTAACTCTAATTAATGTACCTTACCCAGAGATTAAATAAAGTGCTCTGTAACTCTAATTAATGTGAGTTACCCAGAGATTAAATAAAGTGCTCTGTAACTCTAATTAATGTGAGTTACCCAGAGATTAGTGCTCTGTAACTCTAATTAATGTGAGTTACCCAGAGATTAAATAAAGTGCTCTGTGACTCTAATTAATGTGAGTTACCCAGAGATTAAATAAAGTGCTCTGTAACTCTAATTAATGTACCTTTCCCAGAGATTAAATAAAGAGCACTGTAACTCTAATTAATGTGAGTTACCCAGAGATTAAATAAAGTGCTCTGTAACTCTAATTAATGTGTGTTACCCAGAGATTAAATAAAGTGCTCTGTAACTCTAATTAATGTGTGTTACCCAGAGATTAAATAAAGTGCTCTGTATCTCTAATTAATGTGTGTTACCCAGAGATTAAATAAAGTGCTCTGTATCTCTAATTAATGTGTGTTACCCAGAGATTAAATAAAGTGCTCTGTAACTCTAATTAATGTACTTTACCCAGAGATTAAATAAAGTGCTCTGTAACTCTAATGTACTTTACCCAGAGATTAAATAAAGTGCTCTGTGACTCTAATTAATGTACCTTACCCAGAGATTAAATAAAGTGCTCTGTAACTCTAATGTGAGTTACCCAGAGATTAAATAAAGTGCTCTGTAACTCTAATTAATGTGAGTTACCCAGAGATTAAATAAAGTGCTCTGTAACTCTAATTAATGTACCTTA